ACCCCGGTAACATCCTTGTTAATCTTTTCTGAACCCTTTTCAAGTTTCACAACATCTTTCCTGAACCCTTTTCAAGTTTCACAACATCTTTCCTAGAGCAGGGAGATGAATACTGTGTTCAATTCTCCAAAAGTGGCCTCACCAATGTCCTGTACAGCTGCAACATGACCTTCCAACTAATATACTCAATGCACTGACCCAATAAAGGCAAGTATACCAAATGCCACCTTCACTACCCTGTCTACCTGCAACTCCACTTTCAAGGAACAGTCAACCTGCACTCCGAGGTTTCTCTTGTTCAGGAACACTCCCCAGGATCTTACCATTAAGTGTACAAGTCCTGCCCTACCGAAATGTAGCACCTCACATTTATCTAGATTAAACTCTATCTGCCACTCCTTGGCCCATCTGATCAAGGTCCTGTTGTACTCTGAGGTAACCTTCGCTGTCCACTACACCACCAATTTTGGGGTCATCTGCAAATTTAGTAACCATATCTCCTGTGGATCCAGCACTAATCTTTGTGGCACACTGTTGGTCGCAGGCCTCCAGTCCAAAAAGCAACCCTCCACCACCACCCTCTGTTTCCTACCTTCGGGCCAGTTTTGTGTCCAAATGGCTAGTTCTACCTGTATTCCATGTGATCTAACCTTGTTAACCTTGTCTACCATGCAGAACCTTGTTGAACGTCTTGAAGTCCACATAGACAACATCTACCATTTTGCCTCCTTCAATCCTCTTTGTCACATCTTCAAAAAACTCAATCAAGTTAGTGAGACATGATTTCCCACGCACAAAGCCATGCTGACTATCCCTAATCAGTCTGTGCCTTTCCAAATACACACAAATCCCATCCCTCAATCGCCTCCAACAATTTTCCCACCACTGATATCCGGCTCACCGGTTTATAGTTCCCTGGCTTTTCCTTACCACCTTTCTTAAATAATGGTACCACGTTAGCTAACCTCCAGTCTTCTGGCACCTTACCCATGGCTATCGATTGATACAAATATCTCAGCAAGGGGTCCAGTAAACACTTCCCTAGCTTCCCAAAAGGTTTTAGGGTACAGCTGATCCAGTCCTGTGGATTTATCCGCCTTTTTTGAATTTTAAGACATCCAGTACCACAGCCTCTGTAATATGGACACTTTTCACATATCGCTATTCATTTCCTCAAGGTCTCTAGTTTCCATATCCTTCTCCACAGTAAACACATGCAAAATACTCATTTAGTGTTCCACACGTAGGCAGCTTTGCTGATTTTTAAGGGTCTCTGTTCTCTCCCTCATTGCTCTTTTGTCCTTTTAATGTAGAAACCCTTTGGATTCTCCTTTTAACCCTATTTGGTAAAGCTATCTCATGTCCTGTTTTTGCAATCCTGATTTTCTTGTGTATACTCCCACTGCCCTTATACTCCTCCACAGATTCACTTGATTCCTGCTGTCTATACCTGATATATGCCCACTCCGTTTTCTTGACCAGAAGCTCAATTTCTCTAGTTAACCAGCATTCCCTATGCGTACCAGCCTTGCCCTTCACCCCAACAGGAACATACTGCCTCTGGACTCTTGTTACCTCATTTATGAAGGCTTCCCACTTTCAGCCGTCCCTTTAGCTGTGAATATCTGCCCTCAATCAACTTTTGAAAGTTTTTGCCTAATACTGTCAAAATTGGCCTTTCTCCAATTTAGATTTAGATTTAGATCAGGTCTATTCTTTTCCATAACTATGTAAAAACTAATAGAATTATGATCACTGGCCCCAAAGTGCTCCCCTACTGACACATCAGTCGCTCACCCTGCATTGTTTCCCAATAGTAGGTTAAGTTTTGCTTCTTCTCTAGTAGCTACATCCATTTACTGAATAAAATATTTTGTACACGCTTAACAAATTCCTCTCCATCCAAGCCCTTAACACTATGGCAGTCCCAGTCTATGTTGGGAAAGTTTAAAATCCCCAACCATTACCATCCTATTACAACTACAGATGATTGAGTTTTCTTACAAATTTGTTTCTCCATCTCCTGCTGATTATTGGAGAGAGGGGGGTCTTGGCACAATTGCAATAAGGTGCTCACCCCTTTCTTATTTCTCCGTTCCACCCAAATAACTTCACTGGACGATGTCCCAGGAATATCCTCCCTAAGTACAGCCGTAATGTTATTCCTAATCAAACACACAACTTCTCTTTTTTTCTCACTCTTTCTCCCCCGCCATCCTTCCTAAAGCGTATACTACCCTGGAACATGAAGCTGCCAGTTCCCTCCATCCCTGATCTGCGTGTCTGTACTAGCTATGCTATCCCAGTCCCATGTTCCCAAACATTCTGAGTTCATCTGTGTTCCCTGTCAGACCCCTCTTGTTGAAATGAATGCAGTTTAATTTATCAGCCCTACCTTGTTCTCTGCCTTGACTATTTGACTTGCTCCTCTTCTCAATTGTACCAGTCTCCGACTGATCCCTTTTCTCACTATTTCTCTGGGCTCCCCCACAACCCCTGGCCCCTTCCTAGTTTAAATCTATCTGAGGAGTTGTGAATGGTGCTGGAAAACATTGTGCAATTATTAGCAAATACTTCACTTCTGACATTATGGAGGGAAAGTCATTTGTGAAACAGTTGAAGTATTTGGATCTAGGACGTTACTTCCAGGAACTCCTGCAGAAATATCTTGGGGACTGAGATAATTGACCTCCAAGTACAATGGCCTTCCTTTGTGACTCCAACCAGAGGTCTGATTTCCCACCTATTCCCATTAACTTCAATTTTGTCAGGGCTCCTTAAACCCACACTCTTATCAATGCATGCCCAGTCTTGAGTTACTAGATCTGTCCCATTCAGCACAATGATAGGGCCACAGTATGATGAAGGGTATCCTTAATGTGAGAGTAGAACTAATTTCACAAGGATTAAACTATATTCACTCCTACACAGACAGATGCATCTGCGACAGGTAAATTGGTGGGGATGAGGAGGAATGGGTTATTCCTTCCATCTGCTATGGTTTTTCAGAATTTTGCCACCTCAGCCAGTAGGGATGCTATTGAAGTTGACACTTGTGCCCTTTCCACCCTTGATGCTTTCTCCAAATGTTAAACAGTGAGGAGTATTGACTCATCAGCTGAGGTAGAATAGTAGGTGGTATTTAAGAGACTTGCTTGCCCACATTTGACCTGGGGCCATAAGACTACTGGATCTGGAATCAACGTTGAGGGCTTCACGGCCATTTCCCTCCAACTGCTTGTCATTGTCCTGCCAGTTGGACAGACATACTCATGGGATGTCATCTGGAAGGTATGATTTGGTGTGTACAACTGTATTAGCCTATTGGTTGACTGGTTTATGGGACAGCTCCCAATTTTAGCAGAAGCCCCAATGTGCTAGTAAGTAGAACTTGATAGGGTTAACAAGTCATTGCCAGGTGGTCTGCCCAGTTTCATTCCTTTTTGACTCTTCTGTAGCAGTTTGTGATACAACTGAGTGGCTTGCTCAATCATTTCAGAGGGCAGTTGAGACTTGACCACATTCCTGTGGGTCTGGAATCATGCATAGGCCAAACCAAGTGACTGCAAATCTTTCCTAAATGTCTTAGACTGTCGTTCAACAGCATTATCAGCTCCCCGTGAACTATTGGAAAGATGTGGAAATAACTGAAAGCAAAAGTAAAATGAACTCTCATTCCAATGATGACGCATGCCTTACATTTGTGAATCAAAACAAGGTTACTTTTTCCAAATAGGTTACATATTTCCCCTTGTTTGTTTTGTGGAATTGATTGAAGGAACAAAAAATAGTTCACCAATAATTGCAATCTACTCTCTACTCTCTACTTCTGCTTCAATTAAGGAAAATCTGATGAAAACTATTAGGCTAAGCTCACCTGTTGTCTAAATATTGCTAGAGGAGATTCTCTTGCCTTTTTTTTCCAGTGAGGCAGCCTCCTCCTTTAAAGTGGAAATAAATACTGCTGTTGCTTGCCAGAATTCTGCAAGCCACAAAGTTTGCAATTTTAAGAATGGCCAGAACTAACTATAACATAAATATTAAAAGTATCCATTAATTGAATTTTGATGGTGTGAATTATATCCAGATTGAAGCTACCTGAATCAATCTAATTGCACTGTTAACCTAAAGCCACACAAATAAAATGGAAATATGTTGCAATGTCATGGTTTACATTTAAGTATCCTGGTCCTGATCTGGGAGTGAAATTGTGACTCAGGTATTGCTGGTCACCTAGAAACAGTATTATGGAGTGTGAGCTACCACCATGTTTGCCCACAGTTCAATGGAACATATTTCAATACACTTTTTTTTTTCTCCTGTGCTAGCTCCAATCACCTAAAAAGAAGCGGCACTTTCCAGTTTTGCCCAATGTTGTAATGATGGTGCTGCTGAGCATATATTGTAGAACAACATTCTTCTGGCTAACTAATGAAAATCGTATCAGCCAGCATGGTAAAGTATTATAAAATAACAAGGTGTAGAGCTGGATGAACACAGCAGGCCAAGCAGCATCAGAGGAGCAGGAAAGCCGACGCCTCGGGTCTGGATCCCTCTTCAGAAAATAGTAGTGTTTGATGTTTAGGGGAGGAGGAGGAGGAGAAGAGACATTTGCAACTGTTTTCTATTAGGTCTGTGGAGTTGCAATGTTGAAACTCAGATCTAGCATTGTTGATGTGTACATCATGATGGCTTAAAATGACATTATTACAATTCAAATGTAAAAGTAATGGGTAATTCTGCAGTTCTGAAGAAGTCACAGTACAGTTAAAATGTTAACTCTGTTTCTGTTCAGATGCTGCCAGACCTGCGGGGTTTCTCCAGCATCTGCAGGATTTTGCTTTTTATTAATGGGCGATGTGTCTGGTTATTGATTTCAGTTTTGGGGAAAATGTGTTGGGATAGCTTATCTTATTGACGTTTTGAACTGTAATAAACATGGCAGAAAATATCATTGTTCTATTTATATCTTTGTTGGTGGGAAGAGGTAGTATAGAATAGTAGAGCAGATGTAAAGGTCTCACTCGTTTTCCTACCGCTGCTCCTATTTCTTATGTTCTCAAGCTGCAATTAACCTTGCCCTATGTAGCTCACGGTTGCACTGCTACTGCGCGGGGATGTACGAAGGCACGTCCGGCTTGCACCGGAAGTGGAATTAGAATCCCTCCCATCTCGCTGCCGCCGTTCTCGGAAACTGGTTAGAACGGGTGGTTTTGTTTGGAGTGGAAACGTTGAAAGTGCCACTTTATCGCAGTTGGCGGCAGTTTAGCTCGACTGGGTCGGGCTGCTGCTGCCTTTTCCCTTGATGCTGTGAGTGGAGCGGTCGCTTGAAGCTGAGGTGAGGACGGTCCCGTGACATTCGGAAAATCAAACCACCTAACTGAATCCAAACAGAGGGGGTAGAGGGAAGCTCGCGCATCAATCTAAACTGACAGGAGGAACGGCCAGTCACAGCGGGATATTTACCTCATGCCTAGACCTGCAGCCAATCAGAAACTGGGAGGTGGGTGCTGTTTCTGAAGGGGCGTTTCCCTTTCACCCACCATTGTAAATATCCCAATTGCCAAAGGACTAGCATTTGTTTTCAACATGTTTTTAAAAGCTGAATGTGTAAATCTCCTGACATTAGATCAGAGAATATGAATCGTTTTGATTTTGCCGAAAGGTTACTGTAAGTTCTTCTCAATTGCAAATAAATAAGGTTAGTTTCTGTTATCCTAAAATGGATTGGGGTCTTATCATTATGTCGTTTAAATTAATTTTCATTGGAATTTTCAAACTTGATAATCAGTTTGTTTGAAGTTGGTTAAATTGTCCTTGAGGATGTGATTGTTTCAATTAATAATGTGACCAAAAATTTTGAGCCAAACGTAAAGAAAGCAGAATCAAGAAATGGTGTGAACTGATTGTCATGAGCTAAAACCATTACCCCATTATTGGTCAAGCGTTGAATGGTTTATTTCTGCTCTTCTGTCTCAGTCTTATTGAACACTGGCATAAATCCCATAATCTGACTCTGTTTTGCATGTGAAAGTATTAAAATGTACTATGTCGCTGAAAATTGATCTATAAGCAAATTGTATTGTAAAGCTACTAGAAAAATACTCTTGGAACACTGAATAAAATTCATCTATTTCTGCCCCATGTTGTTAATTGCATTAGCTGCTTTTAAAATCTGATAACTGGCTTTGGGGTGGTTGTGTTGAGGTAAAGATATTTATGTAACAAAACAGAAATATGTATACTTAAATTTTGATATTTAAAAACTCTCTTAATGGCAACAATGAAAATTAGACCGTTCATACACTGGGTATTTTCAACCCTATGCATTTGCAATCTGCCTCAGGCAGTGTTCGTTGGCCAAATTATTACCACCTCTACTTCTGTACACATTGTTCCCCACTTTATGAGCACTTAAATGCTGACCGATTTTCAAAGATTATTATGAGAAGGTGAATTGTTTAAATCTATTACTACTATTCAAACTGATTTGAAATGATGGGGCATAGAAATAACATGGGCTGCAGTGTAACAAAATGCAAGTGTGAAGGTGTATAACATTGCAATTGTTTTTCTAATAGCTTTACCTTACACTTCAAGTAGAGGTAGCTATAGTGTAAATTATATATTCTCGATAGAGATAATCCAAGATTTCATTAAGGCCTAATGGTACATACATGGAATATTCTCTATTACATTTAGATTTTTCTCACTGGGACTTCAATGAGAACTTAACACTGTACGAAGCTTTCACATTGCACATAATATTGCTAAATCTGTTCTAAAATGAAACATTTTTTGAAATGACAACATGCATTCATATAGTACTTTTAATATCCCAGGGTCCTTCGCAGAGGCATTATCAATCAAAAATTTGGCACTCTGACCTGTAAGGAGATGTTAGAGCAGGTTGCCAAACACTTGCTCAAGAGGTAGATTTTAAGCAGAGTCTTAAAAGAGAGGCGAGGGTAAGTTGGAGGGAGTGGTGCAAAAATAAAAACCAGAGTTGGAGTTAGATGAGCTGTCTCCATTAGGTCAGCTAATAGTAAATGTTAAGCTAATTTAAAAGCTAAATTGTATTTTTGATAACCACACCTCAGCAGCCTGGGAGAGTATAGTGATCACTCCTGTTAAAATTATTTTTCTGCTTATAATTGATACAGATTAATTTGAAATCTTTGCCAGACCAATTAGATTCAGTAGTGCTGCAAATACTTTCTAATAAAGCAAAACTTGGTCTGCCATCATAATGAAGTATATGTGACCATGAACACACCCATGTTTTAGTTTAATGCTCCTAGAAGTGTTATAATGGTGAATTGTGTAGCAACTGTCTCAAGTTGTGTTGAGATCTTGGGACGGGTTGGGAGAGAAGCGTGTCAAACAAATTATTATGTAGGTTTTGCATGTGTGATCACATGGGGAGACATACACTCCTGGACACCTTTACTGAAAATTCTCCATTTTTGATCTTGAGTCCACTTCTCAGCTGTATTAATGAAACGGCACGAAGTCCCATTCTTAAATATGGAATCAAAGGTTATGGAGAAGATGCAGGAAACTGGAGTTGAGGACTGATCAACTGTGGCAGAGCAGCCTCTGGGCTGAATGGCCTACTTCTGCTCTCTCACCTTTTTATGGTCTTACCTTAGGAATATTATTTAATGGAAGCGAGTTATGGTGGTTCATGGAAGATTTTATATTTGTAATTGGATTTATGTGGAAACATGAGCTGTAATCACAGGGAAGCAATGGCCTAATAGTATTGTCACTAGACTAGATCCAGCAATCCCACGTAATGTTCTAGGGACCTAGGTTCGAATCCTGCTATGGCACATGGTGGATTTGAATTCAATTAAAAATCTGGAATTATGAGTCTAATGATGACCATGAAACCATTGTTGATTGTCAGGAAAACCTATCTGCTTACTTATTCGGACTTCAGACCACAGCAATGTGATTGATTCTTTGCTGCCTAATTGCTCAGAGGGCAGTTATGCCCTTGTCCCGTGAAGGAATGAAAGAAAATCTAATCCACACAATTTCCTTATTGTGCCCAAAGTAACACTTCATATTCAGTGTGTCAAGTAAAATACATTTGTTGGGTGAAGAGAGATAATTGGTGATAATTAGCCCTCAGCGCACAGGTGCAGTTCAGCCTCCATTGATATGCATTCCATATTTCTTTTGATGTTTCTTTATAGATTCTTATGTCTACATTTATCACAAAACTGCAGACTTGGCATGGTAATTATACCTCCTCACCAGAGGTGGGGCTACAGTTCCTCCACTGCAAGCGGATGTACTCTCAGCTCAAATTTGCATCATCAGCGTTCACTATAAAGGTAAACATTCTTGTATTTTTGATGGGATAGCAATATGGAATGGAATATCTAGATGGCATCACTCCAAAAATGCTCTAAAGTTTGAATCATTATATTGAACGTATTAACAGGCTAACAATTGTAAATAAAAGTAATATTTATTATATTTTTAAAAAATCAAAACCTGTTATACAATCATTCTGGAATCTCATTATAAATTATAGAGCTTAATAAACTCTATACTCTTTTCAAAGTAATGACCAATTGGTGTCAATGAAGACTGAATGCAGCATACACTGAGGGAAAAGCAGATGTCGCATGTAGCTGTAGTACATGGAGAAAGATGAAGTAAAAGTGATAAAATCCTTCTTTTGAGAGTGCTCTCAAATGACATGGGTGTTAAACAAAGCTGCAAGAAATTTGTCGAATGTAAGCAGTCACAGACCACTGTTATGGGGGCGATGGCCTTGTGATACTACACTAGACTATTAATCTGGAGACCCAGGTAATGTTCTGAGGACCCAGATTTGAATATGCCATGCCAGATGGTGGAATTTGAATTCGTTTTTTTTTTTTTTTTTAAAATCTGCTGATGCCCCTGAAACCATTGACCATTGTCGGAAAAACCCAACTGGTTTACGAATGTCATGGAGAGACACAGCACGGAAACACAACCTTCAGTCCAACCAGTCCATGCCAATCATAAACCCAAACTAAACTAGTCCTAGCTGCCTGCTCCTGGCCAATAGGACAGTACAGCACAGTACAGGCTCTTCGGCCCACAATATTGTGCCGAACTTTTACCCTAAATCTAAGGTGTATCTAACCTCCACTGCTACCTTATACTATCATCCATATGCCTATCTAATAGCCGCTTAAATGCCCCTAATGAGGCTGACTCCACTACCCTCTCCGGCAATGCATTCCACGCCCCTACCACTCTCTGAGTAGAGAACCTACCTCTGACATCTCCCCTCCCTCCAAACCTTTCCTATTCATGTATAATAACTGTCTTAAAAAAAAGTAATAAACCTTTTTAACTAAATCTGCAATCCCAGGAGCAGCTGCAAGATCCACGCTACATCAGTCTTCACATATCAAGGAAGTCTGCCATCCTCTGGCCTATGTGTGATCCAAAGCACTATGGTTGACTCTCAGTTGCCCTCTGAAATGGCCTTTCAGTTGTATCAATTGCTACACAGTCTCAAAGAAATGAAACTGGATGGAATTCCTGGTATCGACCTAGGCACCAGAAAAGACAACGGCAGAAACAGCCCTGTCGATCCTGTTTACTAAAGTCCTCCTTATTTGGGGTAGTGCAAAAATTTGGAAGCTGTCTCACAGACTAGTCAAGCAACAGCCTGACATAGTCCTACGTTTGATGTCACTGCCCTAGTCGCATCAATAGACATACCACTAGCAAGGGAAACAATGACAGCACTACTAAAACAAGAACAAGACCCCAGTGAAACCATCTCCACAGACAACATGCTGAAGCTACTGGATCTATGCCTCACCACCCACTTCACTTTCGACGGCCAAACAGATAAACGGGACACCCATGGGATCACCTATTGTTGGACTAATAGCCGAGGCTGTGATGCAAAGACTGGAAAGTACGGCCCTTCCGCTAATCCAACCAAAACTATGGATACGCTATGTGGACGACACCTTTGTCGTCATTAAATGGACCAAACTAGAGGGGAGACACAAACTAATAAACAACACCCTCACCGGAATCAAATTCGCCGGAGAGGAGGAGAAGAACAAACAGCTCCCATTCCTGGATGTCATGGTAGAGCACAGGACAAATGGGGAATTTCAAATGAAAGTACACAGAAAAGCCACGCACACTGATCAAGTATTGAACTTCAACAGTAACCATCCTAACACACACACAAAGCTGCGTGTGAGCATTATTTAAACGGGCAACAACACACTGCAGCAGCACAGAGCTACGCCGTGAAGAAGAAGAATACCCCTTCCAGGTATTCAAGGATAATGGATATCCAAAAAACTGGGTCAGAAGATGCTTATTACACGAAAAACACCAGGAAGATACTACATGCCCCGACACACTCATCACGCTACCTAACATCAGGAACACACCGGAACTAACCACAAGACTCCTACGACCACTGGGCATCAGAGTAGCACACAAACCCACATCGACCCTATAACAACTGCTCACCCGAACCAAAGACCCCCTACCCACTATGGACAGGGCCAATGTCATATACAAGATTCCCTGCAGAGACTGTGACAAACACTATGTCGGACAAACAGGAAGGAAATTAACAACAAGGGTACACGAACACTAATTGGCTACAAAAAGACATGACCAACACTCACTCATCTCTATCCACATGGATAAGGAGAACCACCAATTCGATTGGGTCAACACCAAAATCCTGGGTCAAGCAAAGCAGAGACAGGCATGGGAGTTCCTAGAAGCCTCGCACTCCATGAAGAAAGCCATCAACAAACACGTAGAACTCGACCCCATATACACTCCATTGCAAAGGAAAACTGGAAGTGACGTAATCCAGCTCAATGGGCTCCAGAATTTAAAAACCAGGTGGGAAAACAACGGCGCTTCATCGGAGGCTGCAGTGATGATGTTACCCAGCAGGGTAATGAAACGTCTGCGGAACAACAACAAACCAGCTCAGCGAGCCAACCAACCACAACATAGTCCTACTCGTGGAATCATACATTATAGACAATGTCCTACACACCATCCTTGGATATGTCCTGTCTCATCAGATTTGGCAGCACAGTGGTATACAATCGGGAAGGAGTTGCCCTGGAGGTCCTCAACATTGATTCCAGACCCCATGAAGTCTCATGACTTAAGATTTAAATGTGGGCAAGGAAATCTCCTGCTGGTTACCACGTACCGTCCTCCCTCTGCTGATCAATCAGCACTTCTCCATGTTAAACAACACTTGGAGCAAGTACTAAGGGTGGCAAGGGTGCAAAATGTCCTTTGGGTAGAGATTTCAATGTCCACCACCAAGAGTAGCTCGGCAGCAGTACTACTGATCAAGGTCCTAAACTGGGACTGCAGCAGGTGGTGTGGGAACCAACGAGCGAAAAACATACTTGACCTCATCCTACCGATCTGGCTGCAGATGCATCATTCCATGATTGTATTGGTAAGAGCAACTACCGCACAGTCCTTGTGGTGACAAAGTCCCACCTTCACATTGAGAATATCCTCCACTGCGTTGTGTGACACTGTCACCATGCTAAATGTGACAGACTTCGAACAGATCTAGCAACTCGAGGCTGGGCATCAGCAGCAAAATTGTAATCCACAATCTGCAACCTCATGGCCTGGCAGATCCCCATCTCAACCCTTAGCATCAAGCCAGGGGATCAAACCTGGTTCAATGGAGAGTACATGAGGATATGCCAGAAGCAGCTCCTAAAAATGAGGTGTCAACCTGGTGAAGGTACTATATAGGACTACTGGCATACCAAACAGCATAAGCACCAAGTGATGGGCAGAGCTAAGCTCTGCAGTCCTGCCACATCCAGTAGTGGATTAATCCACTCACTGGAGGAGGAGACTCCACAAATATTCCCATTGTCACTGATGGAAGAGCCCAAAATGACAGTGCAAAGATAAGACTGAAGCATGCATGTGGATGATTGATTGCTGCCTGCTTCAGTGGTCCCCAGTGATGGTATTACCATCAATGAATTCCCCCACTATCAACATCCTTGAGGTTACCATTGACCAGAAACGCAGCCTGGACTCGCCACATAAACACTGGCGACGTGTAGATTAGAGGCTAGGAATACTGCAGGAAGTAACTCCCCTCCTGACTCCCCAGAGCCTGTCCATCATCTACAAGGCACAAGTCAGGCGTGTGATGGAATACTGCTGACTTGTCTAGATGCATGCAGCTCCAACAACACTCAAGCTTGACACCATCCAGGACAAAGCAGCCCCCACCCCTTGATTGGCACCACATCGACAAGCATCCACTCCCTCCACCACTGATGATCAGTAGCAGCAGTGTGTACTATCTACAAGATGGACTGCAGAAGTCCAGCAAAGATCCTTAGGCAGCACCTTCCAAGCACATGACCACTTCCGTCTAGAAGGGCAACAGCAGCTGATACATGGGAACACCACCACCGCCACCTGCAAGCTCACCTCCAAGCCACTCATAGTCTTGACTTAGAAATATATTGCCATTCCATCAGTGTTACTGGTTCAAAATCCTAGAATTCCCTCCCTAACAGCATTGTGGATCAAACCACAGGTAGATTGCAGTGGTTCAAAAAGGCAGCTGACTATCTTTTCGAGGGCAACTAGGAACGGGCAAATAATGCTGGCCAGGCAGCAATGCTCACATCCCACAAATGAATTTTTAAAAATCCCGATGGAAATTGATGATATACCATTAAATCCTTCCCAATGGCTCAGTAGATCAATGCACCACTGGGCAGGTTAGAACCAAGTGGAATGAAGATGGTATTGGTTGGTTCACAAACAGCCATGTTTCATTTAGCTTATAGAAGGATCAGATCCTACCACATCCATTCGTGAATGGTGGTGGACAATTATATAACTAATTGAAGAAAGAAGTGCCACAATCCCCCAATATCTCCATCCACAATGATAGGGGAGCCCAAAATATCAGTGAAAAAGACTAGGCTGAAACATTTGCAACCATTTTCAGCTGTAAGTGCTAACTAAAGGATCCATCTCTACCTCTTGCTGATGTCCCCAGCATCACAGTTGCTAGTCTTCACCTAATTTGATTCACTGTATGTGATATCAAGAAATGGTTGAAGACACTGGAAAAGTTCTGATATAACTACAAAACTGAATTCTACATTTCCAGGTATGTCCTTTCCATTTCAAAAAAAAGGACAAACCTATCTCACCAATCACTGCCCATCAATCCACCCTCAATCATCAGCAAAGTGATGGAAGGTAATGTTAACAGTGCTAACAATTGGCATTTACTCAGCAGTAACCTACTCACTGATGCTCAGGTGGC